ATAAAGGTAGAATTGTGACTTTGGATTTTTTCTTTAAATTTTGGTACTGAGTGATTAATTCATCAATAATTTAAGTTCAGTTAAATATAAGTTAACTAATGTTTGAAAATAACTGTTACTATGGAAATTAATAAGTCTGATGTGGCAAGCTTGATGCAGTCTATGTCAGTATTAACAGAACAGGTGGAAACGCTGACATGCATGGTCACTGATCTACTAGCGAGAGAACCTAGGTCTCCCTCTCCTCAACCTCTAACATCGAGAGTACATTCTACCTTCAGACTTGTGGAAAATTCATCGATTTACGTCACTGCAGTCAACCCATCGGACCTGCCTGTTGAGAAGTTTGGTGGTATGTCGGATTACAATCTCTTGAAGTTTCTTAAAAGTTTAGAAAGACATTTTTATATGTACCAAGTACCTGAGAATAGATGGGTGGAAACTATAGCTTCTTGTTTGAAGGGAGGGCCACTAGAATGGTGGAAGGCTTTCGAACACTGGGGAGAACTTAAAGAAACACTAATTTGTACCCAGGGATGTTAGATAATATCAAAGAGTCAGTTGAGAAATTTATTTGGAAAACTGTGAAAATTTATAAATTATGGAACCCTGAAACTACAGAAAGAGAAATTGTGAACTGTATAATATTACAATTGCACGTTTCTTTAGGAGAATACTTGGAATACCACTTTGTTACATCTATTGCTGATGTGCTTAAATTTACTAAACAATATGAGCATCGATAGAATAATAAATAAACTGATCCAACACTTCCACTAAAATCTTGCAGCAATGATAATGTGCCTTGCAGATGGAATGATGAACTGTCAACCATTAGGATATTGTAAAGCAAAACTATTAATAACAAATAGCACTTTGGACCAATATTATGTCATCATCAAAGATTTGGCTATATCTTGTCTTATTGGATTAGACTTCATTCAGTGAAACAAAGCAACCCTTAAATTCTTCACAAATGTTCTTGAATTAAATGTGCTATCTGTTAGGTATGACTTTGATATTGATTGAAGAAGTACAATGTTCACATTTAAAAAGTAAAGATTGTGAACAATTAAAGCAACTTGTGTTGAAATATGCTAATATTTTTACCAATAAACCTGGCCTCAGATTTGTCTGAACAAGATACTGTAACCACAACAGAAGAGCCAGTGTTTAGTTAACCTTATTATTATTCTCCAACTAAATTACAAGTGCTATA